TACTGTGTGCATATCCTTATCGATGTATCAATGACTATAGGCGAAAGGCAAACAATCTTCTAACGACGTTTCTTGAATGCTTTACTGATTTGGAATCGATCAAAGAAGAATCTGTTGGTTTGTCTTTGAAAAAGAAGCTTTCCAAAAACTTAATTTGCGACTATAGCCTATACTTAAAAGAGATTCACTTTGTGGATGTGCAACACCTCTATAGATGGCGTTATCTGGCATTGAATGATCGCAAGTTTAACGATGTAGTTGATAAAATGGCAATCAGAATCATTAGATTTGCCATCCAATATTGCCATCGATTGCAAACACTAGTTCTTCCACACGAATTCCCATCAATATTGCTAATTAAATCTTTGGCGTTTGCCAGAGCTCTGCCACAGTTGAGAAATTTTATCTGGGCCTCTCATCATTCACACAAGGAGGTCTTTGCTGCCTTATCAAAAGTTGCGCATAATCTAGAATCGATATCAGTTGATTTTTGTACCAAATGGAATTCTCTCGACGAAGGATCGATGGACGCTTTCCAAGATCTCGTTCGATCTCAGCATCGGCTAAAAGCAGTTACGATACGAAATCTGAATGTAAACATGGTGTTTATGTTGGAACTACTAAAGACGCAATCCAGTTCCCTTGAATCGCTCACGTTCGAGCATACTGATTTTAGTTCAAATAACTCAAATACTCATGCTGATCAGCAGACAAGGGAGGAATTGGCTGACTTGAGCTTGACGTTCAAATTTCCTCAGTTAAAGAGATTGAAGATGAGATATTGCGGAGTTTTAAGTACGCATGGATTGGCGTCAATTATCATGGCTGATTTACCAAATCTACAGCAACTTATTATTGATCCAGATATTGCCATGCCAGTTAAGTTTACGAAACGGATGTTGCAAAAGCACGGGAGGTCATTAACTAGTGCAACGCTAAAATTATCTGAGAACAATGTTGACATTGTGTCAAGTATCTGTCAAAATCTCAGACAGTTGGATATCACTGTGAGCAAAGAATTGATAAAGCCTGTCGCGTGTATGGTGGCAAACATACCAACTTTGCATTCACTGACAATATGTTCGCTGTCTGAACGAGACCCTCATTTTCTTGGTTATCTTTTTAATAAGTTGGCCAAACATCAACTTTTACATTTGCACGATTTGACCTTATCGAATATGGGCAGCTGCCACGTTGATCCATTAAAGAAATTTTTGTCTAGATCAAGACCTCCTCTTAGGTCACTAATAATTGGGAGAACTAGCGTGATGACTGAAGCACATATTAATGTTATCCTCGACCATCTCAAAGACACGCTGAAATTCCTGTCGATATATTTTGATATCACTGCAGTTAGTGCAAAATGCATTGGAAGGGCAAGGCGTATAGTTAGCCAATTTTGCAGACCTTTTTAATTGTATATTACTATGAGGTGTAAAGTCATCCATTAACTAATTTTATTGCTATCAATATTGATTGTATACAATGAAGATAACATTTAAATCATATGACTATTATGCTTATCCATTAAAAATGTTGAGAATTACTACATACCGGCGTGGCAGTAGACGCGTCGTATATTGTGAACAGGCACGTGTTACCTTGCGTTAAACTTTGTATCTTATCTGTTTCTCACATTGCTGTAAGCAGTCCAGTCTTTCTTAATTTCTGTGTCATGGTTATAGATACAAAATTGGTCATATTTGTTTAATGAAGACACGGCTATTACAGCACAATTAATAATAATAATAGCAAGTGGCGTCGTTATATTTCGTCCATTAAATGTCAGTGCCCTATTGTATGGAGTGCAACTCGATCTCGTTTTTAAGTTTGTGTAGGACAGCGAATGGATTTGTACCACCTAGCAT